CTACTCTACGTCTGTCCTCAGTCCTTACACCATCCGGCAGACTCCGTATTGTTATTTATTGTGTTAGTGTCCGTCTCCCCACCTAGAACAGAAGACCCATGGGTCAGGGGCATTTGTCTGAGTTTCCTGCTGTGGTCTGGTGCCTGGAATGTGGCACGTAGTAGGCATGCCATGTTCGTGGTATGAGGGGGAGATGGTGCAGCCGGGGACTGTGCAGATGGATTGTGAGATGGATCTGAACATAAACAGGACTGGGTGCCTCACTGGATGTAGGGTGCAGGGGGAAAGGCATTCAGGGCCATTTCTGGGTTCCGGGCTCGGGTGCCAGGGGGTAAGCGGTACTTACCACATTAGATGCTCTGCAGGAATCACGGGACTAAACAGCTCCCTGTTCTGTCAGTTAGACAACGTTCCTCAAACTCCCTCATCATGCCAGGTACTGGCCTTCCAAGTGTAGCATCTGCAAATGAACCTAAGCTCAGCTGTACTTGCCCTGCTCATAACAGGACTGTCACCTCCTTCCTTCTAGAACCTATACTCCTATTAATGCAGCCTTTGCATCTGGCCGGCCACTTCCACTGGAGCTTGCCCTGAGTGGTCACAGATGTGAGGCAGGTACTATCCTCTTTTCGTGGCTGCAGAAAGGGAGGCACAGAATGGTCAGGGAGCTTGCCTGAGGTTTCAGAGCTGATGAGAGTGACAGAGCTGGCATCTGAACACAGGCAGCTTGGCTCCTAACCAGGCAGAGCTGCTTCTCTTTAAAGTCCAGGACAGGCATCAGAACTGGCCTTGGACGGGCCACATCCTGCCCTTTGCCCTCTGCCGTGGCAACTGCTGCTGGCAACTGTGTCCTCCACTCAAAAATGGCTGGGCAGGCGCCAGTGAGGCTGCCCTCTGTCAATTCTCAGCCTGCTCAGGGCTGGCCTACAAGTCCACCCACCAGGACACGTGGCCCTGCCTGAGGGCCACCGTCCCCGGTCCGGCCAGGTTTTTGGCCAGGGGACATCCTGGACAAGTTCATGGCTCTCTGAGCCTCAGGGTCCCCGCAGGGCTGCAATGATCTCAAGCGACGAACCCATGGAATCGGCCTCTTGTTGGAGCAGCTCCTAGTTTGGTCAGAGGCCAAACGGCCAGCCCAGCAGTGGGCCCCACAGGGCGTGGTCTCCTCGCTCAGCAAGCTCTGCCCAGCGCTGGGTCTTGCTGGGGCAGGGGACTCAAGTGGAGGCAGACTTCCCTGGGGCCCTGGGGGCAGGGACAGTGTGGGACCAGGGCAGTGTGAAGGGGGTGGAACCGACAGTGGGCGGCTGGTGTTCATGCTGCTCCCAGGAGGGCCCTGACCAGCCTTCTGGGTGCCAGGCATCAGTGGCCCACGCCCCCAGCCCTCCCTGTCAACTAGGCGCCTTGAGGACTGGGCTTGGGCCTTATTTGCCTCAGTGCAGCCTCAGCTCTGATAGTGTTTGTTGAATGAATAAGTGAGGGAGCTTTTTTTTTTTTTAAATCCTCACCCGAGGTTTTTTTCCTATTGATTTTTAGAGAGAGTGGAAGGGAGGGGGAGAGGCAGACACAAACACTAATGTGAGAGAGGCACATCGATTGGTTGTCTCCTGCATGCCCTCGACCAGAGCTGGGAGCTTGTGACAGACGTACGTGCCCTTGACTGGAGTCGAACCTGGGACCCTTCAGTACTCAGGCCGACGCTCTGTCTACTGAGCCAAACTGGCCAGGGCAAGTGAGGGAGCTTTGTGGGATTCCTGAGCAGGAATCACCCCAGGGGAGTCAGGGAGGCCCAAGACACCAATGAGGTGTGAGCTGGGGCTGGAGGGGCAGGGACATCACAGCCCCATTCCCGGACCTCCCCGGAGGTGTCTGGATGTGGTCTGGGGCCCAGGCCTTCAGGTGCGGACAGTGGTCCTGTGTCCCCAGAGCCTGATGCTCCTGTGGCCTCTCTCTACTGCCCACAGCTGGGTCCTGAGGGCACTGGGACAAGGGGCATTAGGGGTGGGGTGGGCGGGAATCCAGGTGGGCATCGACCTGCGTGCTTTCCAGCTCAACCTCTGCCTCTGGGCCACTGGTCAGCAGCTCCTGCTTCCTGCCCCCTCCCCCACCGCAGGTATTTAAGGCCTGAGAGGACCTGACCGGTTGTTGGTGGTGACATTGGACTGTTCTAGGAGAAACACCTACGTTGTCCATGGATTTTGTTGCTGGAGCCATCGGAGGTAGCGGACAGGGCAGCAGGGCCTTGTAGGGGACTGCTGCTCCTGGGGGTACCTGGAGGAGCTGGGGGATGCTCTGTCCTAGGGGGGCCTCTGGAAAACGTGGGGTTTGAGGAGTCACCCCAGAAGTGGCTGGGACCTGGTGTGGGCATGGGTGCTGAGTGACAGGAGGACAGAGCTGGTTCCTGGGAGACTCCAGTGGCAACACAGGGCTGGGTGCAGGTGGAGGGGTGGTGAGTCTGGCACTGGTCTGGGGGGCCCAGCTGGGGAGGCTGAGGGGCAGTTCTGGGGTGGGGGGCTCCGGGGCAGAGGTGGTCTTTGCCTGGGCCATGAGGAGGCTGGGAGTGACCAGCACAGAGGACTGGCTGAGCCGGGAAAGGACCAGAAGCTCCAGGAGAGGTGGACAGTGAGGACAACGCTTCCTGGAAGCTGTGGGCTGAGGAGGGGGCGGCCGTCCCCGCCCCAGCCCCGCCCCAGCCCCGCCTGCCCAGCCACCCTGTGCAACTGTTTTTATTTCTGGGGAAAGGGCTCATTGCGAAAGACAGACCCAGACTGGTAACTGGCCCGCTGGGAAACAGGCTGATTCAGGCTCCGGATCCTCCCGGCCACCCACCTTGCAGTTGGTGGAGGCTGTTTGGGGCCGGGCACCCTTGACCTTGCTTATCGTGTGAAACAGCAGTGGGCTCCTTCCTGTCCTTACTTCTGGGAACAGTGTGGGAGGGGAGGGGAGCAGCGCCAAGCCAGGGAGACCAGGGCTCTGGCCCCATCCAGAGGCTTGCTGAGGTCCTACTGTGTGCACGGACTGAGGCCAGCTGCTGCCCTGGACATCAGCCCCCTAGGGAGGAGGCTCAGAGACGGGGCTTGGCTTGCCCAAGATCACACAGCCGGGAAGGGATCTTGGATGTCACATGTTTCCTCCAGAGTCCACGGAAGGCCTGGTGGAAAGGGCCTCTGCTCTGTGCTGGGTCCCGGGTCACAAGGAACAGATGTGGGCCTTGTCCTTGACTCCGGCTCTGGAGGCAGAGCTGGCATGCTGTGGGCCAGGGGCTCTGATCCACAGGCTTCTGGGAACAGAGGCAGCCCGAGCTCAGGGGTGAGGAAGGGCCCTGGAGAGGAGGAGGTGCTGTGGGAGGGCTTTGATGGATGAATAGGAGTTTGCTGAGGTTTATGTGAGGGTCAAGGAGGGTAGTTCTTTTCAAGTCAGTCAGTCTTTTACTTCATTTTATTCATTCATTCACTCTATTCTTTCATTCATGCATGTTTACTGAGTCCTGGGATACAGAGTAAATAGGACCCAACCCCAAAGCATTACTGTCCTCCCATGGCCCTCGCCACCCATCCCCAGGGACCTGTCTGCTCACTCTCCGGCTTCCCCATGGCAGTGCTGGGGCCTGGACATTGAGTCCCTGGTGTCAGGAAAGGAGACAGAAACAGGACGGTGGCACCAGCCCTCTCTGCAGGGCAGAGGGCCTGGGTCCAGGAAGCCTCGCGTCCACTCTGGGCCACAGCTCGCGGTTCCAGGAGCCCTTCATGGAGCCCTGGGGGGGCTGGGCTCTTCTACCCCCAGACAAACCCGTCGCAGCCTGAGGCTTGAAGGCCAGCGCTGCCTGGCCTGGGACAGGCCCAGCCAGTGCCAGACCAAAAGTTCTCCCAAAACATGGCCCCAGAGGCAGGGCGAGGAGTGTCCTGGGGGCCAGCAGCCAGTTGGGAGTCCCTCCAGCTCTCGGAGCCTCCGTTGCCTCGTTTGCAGAACGGGGTGGCCCTCCTGTTGATGAGACACTGGACGAGGAGGGGGTCTGCCCTCGCTTTCCTCACCCCGAGCTCTGGTTTCCTTCCAGGCGTCTGCGGTGTTGCTGTGGGCTACCCCCTGGACACGGTGAAGGTGTGTAGCGATAGGCCCTACAGCCCTCTTCCTCCCCCCTCCACCTAGGGTGCTCATCACACCCGGCCCTCCCCACCCACCTCCGGACAGTCTGCCCCCCTTTTTTCCAGCCTCTGGCTCCTCCTCTTACATGGGGCTCACTGTCCCTGCTCTGCCACTGGGAGCGTGGCCGTGACATCCAAGGAGCTGGCTCTTCCCCTCCCCCAGGGCTGCTGTCCTTGCCCTGACCTTGACCCCTTCCTGAAGCCTGATTCTCCCACAGGTCAAGATCCAGACGGAGCCCAAGTACACAGGCATCTGGCACTGCGTCCGGGACACGTATCTGCGAGAGCGGGTAGGCCTGGGGCCAGGATGACAGGCAGGGGATGTCGGGGCTCAGGCCCCAGGCCTGCCACTCACCACTCTCTGAGCCTTGGTTCTCTCACTTCCAAATGGGAATAACTGCACCAACCTCTGGGTTCCTCTGAGGCCCAGGGCTGAGTGTCCAGCATGTAGGAGGGGGCGGGGGGTGTCTGGGGACTTTGATGATGGGGGGACCCATGTGTGGGCATTTCTGTCCACTTCAGGGTGGAGTTGTCAGGTCCCCAGGGTCCAGGACAGAGAACTGTCCAGAGGGGGGACAGGGACATTTACCAAAGTGACCTTGGGGCTCGGTGCTGGCCAGGGAGGGGCCAAAGGAAAACAGCAACAAGGAAGCGTGCCAGTTCCTCAGCTTCATCATCAAGTAGCTGCCCTGGGTCCCGCCTGGCCCTCTGTCTCTTCTTCACACTCTCTCGAGTTGAGTGCTCTGAGCCCCATTTTACAGCCCAGGATACTGAGGCCCTAGGCAGTAAGTGACTTGCCTGAGGTCCCATAGCCAGGAAGGGCCTGCAGGGGTGAGACCAGGGCCCTCCTCCTGGCCGAACCTCTGGCCTGACTGCAGTCCTTGGGGCCCGTCCATCTGCCCACCAGGTGAGGGGCTTCTACAGGGGCCTCTTGTTGCCCATAAGCACAGTGTCCCTGGTCTCATCACTGTCTTTCGGCACCTACCACCACTGCCTCACACGCATCTGCCGGTTCCGGTATGGCAGCGCCGACGCCAAGCCCGCCAGGACCGACATCACGCTCTCGGGTTTCGCCTCTGGCTTCGTCCGTGTGAGTGGGGTCCCGGGACCCCGGGGGTGGGGAGGGCCTGACAGGTCCCTAAGCCCAGAAGGCAGGGAAACTGAAGCTCCGTGAGGGCAGAGGCTGGGTGGAGGCTGGGGGACTAAGGGTGAGAACTCAGCTGAGTCTCATCAGCTGAGGGAACTTGAGGACTCCAGGGAGCCTCTCTGAACTTCTGACTCTTCATCAGTAAGAGGCGTCTCTATGAGGACTCAGTGAGGTCACATGTAAAGACCCTAACACCAAGTCTGACAGGTATGAGCACCCATGAAATGCAAACAACATTATCAAGTAATGTTATGTTACATACTAATGTTATGAAATACTTTGTTTTATTATTCTTGCATCAAGTGCTTACATTAATTAAGTCATACGGTAATATGTCATTGACATACTAATTATGTGATTAAATGCTTTCATGAATTGGAGTCACAGCCACTTACCTGACACCTACTGTGTGTGGAGTCCGCTCTGTGCTAGACGAGTGTGTAGCTGGAGAAGCTGCTGGCTTGGGCTTGGGTGGGCAGAGCGGGCTTTGAACGCCGCTCCACCGGGGCCGTGGGCCAGCCTGATTCTTCATGGGGCGCAGGTTCCCCGATGTCACTGTGGGTAACGGGAGGCTGACGGGAGGCCAGGTCCAGGGTGTGTGGGCAGTGCTGGCGCCCTCTATGGCTGTGTCTCTGCTCCAGGTGTTCCTGACCTCGCCTACCGAGGTGGCCAAGGTCCGCCTGCAGACCCAGACCCAGACCCAGACGCAGATGCAGCAGAGGCGGAGATCCTCGGCCTCATGGCCCTCGGCCGTGCCCCCCATGTGTCCCGCACCCGCTGCCAGTCAGGTGCCTGGGCCCAAGTACCGGGGGCCGCTGCACTGCCTGGCCACCGTGGCCCGTGAGGAGGGGCTGCGGGGCCTCTACAAGGGCAGCTCGGCCCTGCTCCTCCGGGAGGGCCACTCCTTCGCCACCTACTTCCTCTCCTACTCCGTCCTCAGCGAGTGGCTCACCCCTGCTGGCCACAGCCAGCCAGGTGAGTGGGGGCTGGGCGTGGAAGGGGCACAGGCTCAGCCGGTGGGAGCTGAGTCAGGTGGCATACTGCTACCCCAGAGCCTCCCAGGCTGGGAACCTGCGTGCTCCCGACGCTGAGGGTCAGGACAGATGCCCTCAGTGTGGCCTGGGAGTCACATTGGTGGAATGAGCCCAGGGCTTCCTGAGGGCTGGGCCCTGCCCTGGGAGCCCCACCCACTCTCCTCTGGGGCCTCCATCCGCCTCCAATCAAGGTGCTCCCTCGTGGGTCTCGCCCTGCAGATGTCCTGGGTGTGCTGCTGGCCGGTGGCTGCGCAGGGGTCCTGGCCTGGGCTGTGGCCACCCCCATGGACGTGATCAAGACTCGCCTGCAGGTGGACGGGCAGGGCCAGCAGCGCTACAGGGGCCTCCTGCATTGCCTGGTGACCAGCGTGCGGGAGGAAGGGCCGCGGGTCCTCTTCAAGGGGCTGACGCTCAACTGCTGCCGTGCCTTCCCCGTCAACATGGTGGTCTTCGTCAGCTACGAAGCCGCGCTGAGGCTCACCCGGGGCCTGCTCAAATAGCTGTGCCGCCGCGCGGGGGCCAGCCTGTGGAGGCCCGCTGCCAAGGGGTCCCGCAGGGTAGAGGTGGCGTGGGATGAAAGCACCAGAGACCAGGGCCTAGGAGGACTGGCACAGGGCACCAGCACCAGCACCTTTATTTTTTACACACACTGTTTTATACTAAGCGGTGGCTGGTCATGCTTCATAGATCACTGCTAGGGCTTGGCCTATATAGGGAAGTAGCAGATCGTGACAAGCTGGGCAAGACTGGGCAAGCTTTGTCGAGATCCATCTATGTATGACAGTTGCTATGACAAAAGTCTGCTTGCCTAGGTCACAAGAACTGGGGTGCAAGCCAAGTTCATGTCCTTTACACGACTTGGAGTGGGGTCAGGCCTTCCCTGGACCCTCACTGGCTCTTACATCTCCCCCTTCTTCGTGTCTTAGGCGAAGTTCGTGTACAGCGGTGTGCAAGGATTGGAGGCTTCCTCCAATGGCTTGGATGTAGACTGGAAGTAGACAAAGCAGAACGGTTATGCCTCTAAGTAGCATAATCCTGGAACCCAATCACGAGGTCCACCGGGTAGAAGAAAACCAACTTTCAGTCTCATTAAAATCTTAGCTGCTACCTCCGCAGGTGGAAGCCAAGGTCCCTTTGCACCAGTGGTTCCCAAACTTATTTGGCCTACCGCCCCCTTTCCAGAAAAAATATTACTCAGCGCCCCCTGGAAATTAATTTTTTTTTTTTAAATTTTAAGAGCAATTAAACAGAAAGATATATGTATTAATGTTTCTACCTTTTTCGTAAAATATAGTAAAGAAGGGTGTAAATTAGAAACATTGAAGTTTGAAATTATGAAACTATTTATTGAACTCAGAATAGAAAAGTAATACAAAAAAAGTTAAAACAAATGCACCTGTGGCCATCACCGCCCCCCTGGATCGCTGCAGCGCCCACCAGGGGGCGGTAGCGCCCACTTTGGGAATCACTGCTTTGCACTTATTATAGCCTGAATTTCCTTTAAAGTTATACAATCAATCATTGTTGCTAAGTGCAGTTACTAGAACATAAGTGAATTACATAAAACCATAATTAATCAATAATGCCCTCTTACCAAGGTACTTACTAATCAACTGTGCCCCATGGCTCTAGCTAATATAAACTTACCCCGTTTCCCAGTTAGAGGCGAGGTTGTGTAATCCACTATCTACTTGTTGGGCTGTAAGGATAGAGGTTTTTAAAGCAAATCCTGACGCTATAGCAGAAGAAATAATTACCAGAGTAAATACATTAAAAGCTATTAAGGAACATACAGAGGAACAGTGGATACATTCAGGTGAGAGTCTGGTTAAACAATGCTTGAAAATGGGAGTCCCCCAAATGTCCCTTAGGCCTCACCCAAGTCCCTTGAATATAGTCCGAGTCATTGGTAGCCAAAGGCGGGTCAGGATCAGTCCCAGTCTGCAGAGTGAAGGCTGGGGGACCAATCACATGAGTCCAGTGAACTGCAGCCGAAGCCACTGGCAAAAGTCCAGTCGAGGTAATTAAAGCCGAAGTCAATCCCCGGGAAGAGTTCCGAGTGGATGCTCTGAGCTTCCGCATCCGGCCTCTTCAAAGAGCCCCGGTGAGGAGGGGCCATCTCCGTCCGAAGGGCCTGCAGACGCCTCCGCTGGAGCGCGTCCTAAAGGTTTATGGCTTCTCATCCTCTTCCTCAGAGATCTGATCGCAAACTCGGTCACTGGGGTCCGCATCTGGAACTGAAACACAAGCATCCCCTCTTCCCCAAGTCAGCAACTCCACCGGGCCTTTCCCAAAGGACTCCTGGCCCCGGTACATTACTTTAGAATTGGGCTTATGTTCTTGAGGCACAAAGTGTTTTCCAGCAGCTATTTCCCCGTGCTCTGATTTTAAAAAATTTAAAGTAAATAGTGAATGTTGTAATATTTGGTGAGGAGAGTACGGACCCCCTTGCTCCCCCTTCTTTGTGTTTTGGATTTGATTTTTCAGGGAATGATGTGCCCTTTTAACTATGCTTTGTCCTTGGGGATTATAGGGGACTCCAGGAATATGAGTGGAGAATTTACTTTATTAGGATTTAATTGCTTAAAAAGATACTGGCTTTTTGTGGTAGGTATTTTTATTAATAAAGTTAGTAAATTTAGTAAAGTTTTATGTCTGATTTGTGAGGTGTAAATACTGCCTATCTCTAGCCTAATTTAAAATGTAGTAGCGAGGAGCTTTTGTTATTTTAAATTATATCCCAAAATTCTATTGCTGTATTTTAAGAAATTTTAAATAAAATAACTTGTTTTGTCCTTTCTTAGAGGCAAAAACTTAAAATACATATTTATTAATTTTTATTTGATAAAGCTTTTCTATGTGATTTAGAGAATAAACTTTTGAAAACATTTTAGCGTCCGTGAAATGTCCTAAAGTTATTCCTTGGTTATAGT